AGCGCGTGCATTGGCCAACAAGCACACGCACACGCGTTGATGTGTTTACGCTTCCGTGCAATTGTGCGTCTGTGTGAGCTCTCCCAGCAGGAGCGAAAGCACATGGGATGAAGGGCACATGCGGCTAAACACGAGTTTAGTCATAAAACAGTCGCTCGTCAGAGAGAGGTTTTTCCCAGAACCTGCCTCAAACAGTCTATGTGTTGTTGAAGGGGAGAGAAAGAGAGAGACAGACATCATTTCTGAGAACAAATGGAAATGGGAAACAGTGTTTGCTGCTGAATCCGGCTCGATGTGAACGGTTTAATGGGCACCATCTTCACTCCTCACCCAAGCTTGAAAAGTTCCCCTCCAAAGTTTTTGCTGATACAAAGAAAAACTAAAGTTTCATGGGGCCACGCTGAGATAGTGTTTCACAGACTCTACTTTTTGTCAGAAAAACATGTAAGTTTGCAAAAAGACGGATTGCGCTTCCGTCAACTCCTGAACTGTTAAACACATTTGCATTCTTTGTGCAAGCCCGGTGCGACAAAAGATGTCCACTGTGAAAGAATTCGGATGATATCTTTCGTGGTCGCTCCACACTGCTCCCACAAAGTCAAATAAGCTGAAGGTTGTCTATTGTAAGTACTTCACAACCCAGAATACCCTGGGACAAAATTCTGATAGTGTGACTGTTGTGACCTTGACCTTGTCCACCTATATTAGACCCAACCGTCAGTCCTGGTCTAGAAATAGTCCCCTGTAACTCCTCTCTCTAAAAGGGGGACTGTGATGTCATAGTGTTAATAAAGATACAAATAAGTAACAGTTTTTAAAATGTATTTCTTGCCTTATTAATTACTAAAAAAGTGGGATACTACTTACTGCACTTACACATATACTATCTACATGTATCGCTAATAATAATACCCCATTTAAAATGATATGATGCTGGAGATTTCCCATAACAAAAAAAACAAACCAAAACACCTCTACGCTTGTTTGGATATAAATGATGCTCGGGCCATACTAACACGATTACTGCTGTTGTGTGTAATATTCTAACGAGAAACATGCTTCTCCACTTTCTACTATAATTAATGCACCAGATCAACTGTTTGTCTGCACACGTTTGTCAGGGATTCTCCTGTTTAATTTCTCACTCTGTGCCAAGACGCATCCGTGTAATTATGTGTCAATGAGCAATTAAGCATCAATTAAGGTTTATTAGGCTGAGAGCATATAACCAGGAGCAGTGATTAGTATCTATCTATCTATCTATCTATCTATCTATCTATCTATCTATCTATCTATCTATCTAGCTATGCTTTTACCATTTCTCTCTTTTCTTATCTTGCTTTTAAGTGCTTCTGTGAATCATGCCAAACTTTATTTTCTGTTTTCTGCCGACCCTGAGTCCAACTCCACGCGCTTCTGTCATCCCAGCAGCCTTCCTCAGTCTGTTCCTCTTCCTTTGTATGCTTTTTTAGAGTACTGGCTGATGCAGCTTCAGCTCCATTATTCGGTGCATCTCTGGTCCCTTTCACTTCCCTCTTCTTCTTGAGTGGTGCTACATGACAATCCAATATCTACCAACCTTAGTCTCCTAAATACTCGGCCTTTTCATCTATCCACCTTTATCTTTCCATTAATCCTTGAATGTCCTCTCTGCTGCTGCAGGAAATATCGTTTCTTTTCTTTTCTTTTTTTTGGGGATTGGAGGTACCTCGTACCTACAGAAATGTTCTCGGTAGAATTTGCTTTCCCTTCTCTTTTGGTTTTCGAAATTGACCAGCTGTTACTTCCCACAAGGTTACACTGTAAAATGCACATTGCATCAAAAGCATTTTAGTGAAACCATTTGGAGGCCAGGCTGCAAAGCTTTCTAGACACTCATAGTTTTTCTACATTCTCCCATTTATCATCATCTTCTTCTTTTTCTTCTTCCTCTTCTTCTTCTGCTTTTGGAGGCTATGGTTGCTCCTTAAATCATAGGACAGTCGCCTTATCTTCAATTCAGTTTCACCAGTATGGCAAATATTGGAGGTCATCTATTGAAGTAACTTGAAATCAGAAAAACATGTTTCTAGTTTTTAAACAACATGGTGCTGATGGATTTCTGTGACCAAGCTGATCTTAAAGCATTGTGTGACATCAATGTCCACCATAGAGGCAAAAGACAGTTAGTTCTAAGCGTCCCGAAGATTGGAAAACTATTTGTGGCTCTGACTTTAACAAAAAAAAAAAAAATCAAAGTAAAGGACAAAAATATTTTCTATAAGCTGCCAAAGAGAGAAATGGAGCCTGGCAAGATTCAAAAGTGAAAGCTAATGATAAGACATGCAGCAGTAAGAACAGGTAAGCTGTGGGATCCTTATGTTCACTATGGTTACATTTACATGGAGTAGATGTTCACTAATAAGTCAAATATCTAAACATAAATTTTAGGCTGTTATAATATTCAAAGTTAAAAGTAGTGCTGTGTTTGGAAACGTTTTAGCTAACTGTAGCTTGATAACGGATAGTTAGCATTAGGTTTCCAATAGCTAACTTACATGCTAGATTCATAGTGCTAAAAGAACCCTAACCCAAAGTAAAATCTAAGATTTTTAACAATTAACAGCTCAAGTTTACTATTCAGTTAATAGTAGCTTCGTGAATGTGCAGCAGTTCTGGAGCATGTTTGAGGAGGACTTTGGAGCCCGTGGGCCTTTGAAAGTGAGACTCTTGTTAGTACTCAAGTTTCTTTGAAACTCAGAGGAGGTCATTCATCAATTCATGCACGGTCTCACATGAAAATTGCTAAATAAATGGAAACGTGTTGAGGATGTTCTGAACTTACAGTTAGCGACCCCAACCATCCCAGTGTGTGGTGAGATTATCAATCCAAATCTGCACCTAGAGAACATGTTTCTCCTGCTTTGCACGCTATGCAGTCAACGACACATATGTTTGCACTTTTATAGCTTTCATAACTATGGCCCTTTGTTTCTCTGTGAGCACGGCATACGTGTGAGGATACTTGTTCATAATGTGATTTACAGCAAGTTGTGCATGTTTGAATTTTGTGCACGTCTGTAAAGGTGGCCCAGTGTATGATTATGTGGGATTAACTTTTATTGCACTGGTTTAAATGTACATTTACCTTTTGTGCCTCTGCACATTTTGTGTGACTGCAAATAAATGAAAAGATGAATTTCACTTTTAAAAAAAATGTTTCTTAATGAAATAAAAAGCTAAATTTGCCCCCCTGGTCAAAGTTGGTTTCCTGTTCAGTTGATATGCTTTGATGCCAATCCTGATTTAAGAGTAGAATATATCTCTGATTCTGTTTTAATTATTACATTTTATACAAGAAATAATTAAAAAAATACATTGAGAAAAACCTCACACTCAAATCAACTAAACATACAAGTTAAAGAGTGAAATTTGTTACAGATTTGATGATAAAGCTCTCAAACACAAAGTAAGTTCGGTAAGTAAGTCAGATTAAAAACCCATACTTAGGTTGTTAAATATATATCTATACAATTGGATATGTATGATATAATTTCCACACAGCCTTCCAGCAAACCATGCATAGTGTTACAAAACAATTTTTAAGAATTGATTAAGTCAGAGGGAGAACTTGGCTGTACAAAGAGGGCTGCTGAATGTCTGCTGTATACAGCAAATATACACCAGCCTCATTTTTAGATCAGATCTTTCTTACTTTATTGTACGATAAGTTTGATTAAGGTGTTTTGAAAATGAAAATGATTTAAATCTCAGAGGATTAAAGGAGAAGAAACTTGTAGGGTGAGTTTATTCTCTCCATTTGATGGTTTGTTTGTTTGTGTGTGTGTGTGTGTGTGGGTGTGTGTGCATCTTTTAGATCAGCCAAAGATATTTACTAATTTCCCTTCTATTTGAATATCTTTAAACTAGCTCATAAAAAAAATAATGTGCCATAATATTTTTTAATGTGCCAGTATTAGCCACAAAGCTGTTTTTCACTACCTGGATAAAACCAGAATATTTTTTTTAACATGCATTTCTTTTACCAGTGACAGTAAACACAGCTAAACATAGCTGGTCATGGTGTGCCAAAGAAAAATGTTATTAAATTGGTGAGATTATTCCTATAATTAGTTAACAAGGAAAAATGTAAATTGTCTCCTTTTGTTATATATTACAGATGCAGAGAAGTCGTCTAAACTAAACGGCTCGTTGTTTTAAACACACCGATTTCCCTGAAAATAAAGACAAAATGATCGATGCATGTTTTCTTTTTTTTTTAGAGGTGCATATGGAAAGATGGAGCCTAAACATGCCCTATGTGTCAGTGTCTCATGGTTGAGTTCAATGTTCCCTCTTTGTGGGTGTGTGAAATTCGCACATGTGAACACACCTCCTGCCCACCGAGAAGGGAGCCATCTGACCTTTTGCTTGTGCTGGAATTAATGAAGAGACTGTCATTTGTGATCTCCATGACTGCATGCTCATCTCACACATGCAGATGTTGTAAATGTACAGCCATGATACCTTCCTCTTTGTTCTGTTTCACATTTCCTGAAATCCCCCATTGTTTTTCTCAAAACCGTAAAGTTCAGAATTACATTTTCAGATTACACTCACTTCGAATGCGACTTCTGGTAAAATCATATTCAACTCAACATTTTTTATCTTTGCTAAAAAATCCAACGTTGTTTTCTCTTGATCATACAGACAGAGAGGGTAAAAACTCTACTGGGATATGACTACCAGCTAGATCAAAAACAGATTTGACGTACAGATTTTCCAGCTAACTGTGAATGAATGAATAAAAAGCATTTTATTACAAAGATATAGGCAAACATGTTTACAGTATGCAAATGCTAGAGGCAATCTTGAACGCACGGAGTGAAAAAATACATTACAGCAAAAAAGATCCAGAGAGTTAATTAATGAAAATCCAGTAACTTTAAACATTCCTGGATAGCCAAAGTTACAAGTCTTTGTGCACCTTGAGACCAGACACCAGGCTTTGACGTGTTTCCTGCTCAAATAGGACAAAGTGTTGCTTGGGAACAAGGCATATATGTATTGTATGGTATTGGTTTTAACAGTTTTGAGGAACTGAGTGTGAGTACTGAGATGGTTGCTTTACTTCTGTTTAATTGGAAGGCATTGGAAGTCTCTCACTGTGAAAATAGGTATTATTAAGAGAGCATTAGGAAAATAAATATGACCATGTGCCTCTCAGAGTGGGATTTAGTGCTTTAGCAATTCAGTAAAGCTGTAATGAGCAAGATTCTTGGACAATCTGCCAGTCGAACCAGTGTGCCTCCATAATGACCTGTTATATTCAGCGTTTAGGTTGCTAAACAGGAACCAAAAGACACCAGTGACATCTAGTGGCTAATCAGTGTGCCGTTACTGAAAAGTTCACCACTCCAGGCAAGGCAGGAACAAGTTGTTAGAGGTTAGATCCTCTCTGTCAAGCGTGTAATTAAACAGGTTTTGCAAGTTTTTCTCATTTTTGTGCTGGAAATTACTCTGATATAGTTTTTTGTACCATGAAATTTTTGCACTATTTAGAAACTGACAAGCTTTAGAAACACATGTACGACACATTAGACATAGAAAATATCAGTCACATCATAGCAGTTTGAAATGATTGTTTACATAATGATTGCTACAATGTAGAAACAAAATAAAGGTAAAACAAAATTGAAATATTAAAGTGCAAATGTATTATTTTCAAACTATATAGTAATAGAAGTAAGAAAAGGATTTATGACAAAAAAGCCACTATATTTTAAATTGTTATAAAACAATGCAAAAAGTGTGGGTGAAAGGACGTTTTTGGCATGTTTCATTTTTACGTTTTTTTGTGTGAAAGAAAACTTAACTTAAAAAAAGGAAAACACCCTAAAAAGGATTTAACCTGTAAACAGCACATCTCTGTAGCACTGGAGTGTGTGATTTACAGCATAAGGCTGCAGTTGAAACGTTCAGACGGCGTGAGCGTGCAGCAGCCCAGCAGACTGCTCTGACTGAATCCGTCCCCTGTTGTCACGTTCCATGGCTCATACACTGTCACACTGCAAATAAAACACACACATGCAGGAGAAAATGTCCACTTGGTCAGACGAGTGAGTTTTAATATAGTTTTAACTGGGCAATAGTAATAAACAGTAATAAACACACACACACCTGTTATATAGTTCTGTGCAGCAGGCGTGCATCTGTGAGCTGTTGGTCATGCTGGTGTTGTTGAACTCTACACTCAGCAAATGTGGGCACTCAGAATCAGGGATGTACAACATACCTAAAACAAAACAACAAAAATCCGAGTTATGGTTTTAAATGTTATGTATGTAGGTTTATTATTTGTTTTATAAAATATGCCAAACAGATACATTTGGAAGATTTAAAGATTTAGGAATCAATTCAATGTAGCTCAAAATGTTACATTTTAAAAATATTTCTGTTATGCCAGATCACTGTATAAAAATGCACATAAAGATGCAGATGAAGATAAATTGAAAGTACCTATTAAATTGTACGCAGAAATGTAGAAGATTGATCAAAAGTACTTTAAAATGTACATTTTTGCAAAGTGTATATTTTAGTGTACTATCAATAAATGTTTCTTGTTGTGTATTGTCAGTATTATGTAGTATGTAATGACATATTTCACCCATTGAACTATAGCCTATTTTCATGTAGGATATAAAGAAACACTTGACACTAAGGTGACTGATTCCTGAGTACCGTAGTTAATAATGAATAATGTCTAAATCTTAATTAAGGAGTATTTTACAGATAAAGATAAATTATTACATGCCAAGTAAGTAAATATAGTGTTAGTATAATGCTTAATTGTATTATTTAACCCTCAAACTGTCAGGTACTTACTAAAAAGCTGGATTTGAACTGATTTTTAAATAGTAAATTTAAAAATGTGCTTAAAACTCTGCAGTTGTAAAAGCTAAAATAAATGTTTTTGAACTAAGAACAATGTCAGTATACAAGGTTAATATACAGTTGCTGAAAATTTAATGCACACTTTCTGTAGAAGTGGTTGTTTGATCCAACAAAGATATTTGTACTTGATGAGGAAATATATCAAACATAATACTTTATTACCGAGAACATCAAGCCTGGCTGAAGAACAGATGTTACCTGCGATACAAGCTGTCATGAAACAAGAGATGCTGCCTGCAATCAGAGCTCTGAGGCCACAGCTGGAGATATCAGATCGTCTGTCTGGAGCCATGGCAGCTGGGGAAAGAACAATTATGCCGTACAGTTAGGTGTTTAAATTTCATAGTGACATTTTGTTTATAACTTTGGCTCTGTGCTCCTACAGTATGTTTGAACCAGCAATCAGTGTGAAATGGAAATTCAGACCTTCAGCTGTAGTTCAGCGGGTTAAAACGATTAGAGGAATTAAAGGCAGTTTTATACAAGGTGCAAATGTAATTGGACTATTCCCTAAAAAGCTGTTTCATGGACAGGTGTGAGGGAAGGAGCTCTCAGTGGGGGTGAAATAGGCAACAAAACAGCTATTTCCATAAGACAGATAGTGGGAGCATTCTGGGAAAAGGGTCAAACAGGTGAGATGTGCAACATAAAAAGATAAGGACATTCAGGTAAGACAGCAGTGGTGAATCACACGATCCTATTGTAAAGAAAACCCCCTCAACATCACTCAGCCAACCTTACAGGTGGTGGGCAACTTTTACCTGAAGGATGGCGGTGGGAGGTTATTGAGAAGCAAATGGTAGCAGATTGATGCACAGGTATACATATTTCCCCAGCAGCTGAGTTTCACCAGTGCTTATTGAGGATTTGATAGGAGAAAGAAGCAATTCTGAATTCTGACACATATAGAGCTAAACTCAGCGGTCAGATTCAGATGAATACAGTAAAATTGACTGTTCAAGTAGTCCAGACATACTGTGAAAGCAAACCAGGAGCTTCAGGACTGCTACAGGCACCGAGACAGTCACCTGATCAAACTACAGACTGGAAGACCCGCAAACAAACAGCTGAAGACAGGACCACCAAAGCATCAGAAAATCTATTCTCTGGTGATGCCCATGGCTTCCAAACCTCAGACCTGTCCTTTGTAGACCAAGGACAAGTTACTATTATATTAGACTGTCCTGTTACATTTGAGCACAATGGCAGAATGACATGAAAAGTTAAAATTGACAGTTTTTTTCTTCTTACTCTTCTATAATCAAGACTTTTTGCTTATTTTCAGTCCTTTAATGCTTGAAGGATCCCTGAGCTGTGTCTGGAGAAGAAATTGTGAAGACGTTTTTAAAAGTGCATTTATCAGGTTTGGCCTTGTCATTGGAAATGTCAGGACCGTTGAAATGCAGGATTGTTCATCTTTGTAACTTCTTCGCTACACTTCATCTAAATGATGTGTGGAGTTTTTTCTCAATTTAAAGTAATCATTTTTTCATAGTCACGGTCTGTTCTTTGACTGAAAAGAAGCACACAAATTAGACTTGTCCCATTACTTTATATAATAATAGTTATAAATGCGTTTGTTTAAACTTTTGATAATTTTCTGTCTATTTGAGAGTTAGGGGAATTTGGCAGCTACAAGCCCATTCAGCCCACACACTGTAACTTGCCTTAAATGTGACAGATGGGTTCCTTGTTGTGCCAACCAAAAACATCAAGGACACCCCCTCCATCCCACCCCCCAGTCTGTTCATGTGGTGGAGATACTATCAAAAAATTGTGTGCTACAATATAGTTCAGAATTTTTCCAACATCATGAAGTTTAATGTTTTTCTATTTTTTTTTTTCAGCTCAGCTTTCTTAACAGGTGTCACTCACACAGCGCTCCAATCGACATCCCCAGTGAAGCAAAGTTGGAAAATCCACACAAAGCGTACGTTGCAATGGCTTCAGAATGGACCTGGAACAGAGCAAATAAATCTAGTAAAGAAAACGCATGAGGGGGGGTCATGAATTCCAAAAGCCTACATTTGCACTAATACAGTTTGATGTAAATAAATGTGTATATACCACCCTCTGGTGTTCAGCAAAAAAAATTGCGCTGGGAAAATTCACAGGCGTCACTTGCTCAATTGACTGACACCTGACTGTCGAAGTTGTCTCCAAGCATTCAGTGCAGCATCGAAATGGACAAATGGTAACATGAAAAAACAAACAAAACAAAAAAACCCTCCTACCACCGAGACACCGGCCACTACCACCAATCAGCTCATATCTGCATTTGCCAGTGACTGCACAGGTGATTGTTCAACAACAACGTGTTCGTCAGATTGGGATGCTAGAACAGATGTATCTGTGGATACTAGCCAAGTGACTAGCATAGCTGGAGACAGTCATGTGGAAAGTGATGAATGGTCTGATACTGTTCTGTAAACAGAAGGACAACTGCAGAAGATATATTTCAAAGCTGGATACATTCATGGACTCGTGTGGGACAGATATGTTGGCATCTGCACTGATGGCCGTGACTGGGAGACATGGAGCATCCACCGGCTGTTGCTACAAAGGTAATACCTGCCCATCTGAAACATGTTTTGAACACCACTGTAAAAATTGTTAACTTTGTGAAAGCCAGGCCGCTGAACTCCCGCTTATTTGCTGCGTTGTGCAATGAGATGGGCAGCGAGCATGAGACTTTATTACTCCACACAGAGGTTTGCTGGCTGTCAAGAGGGATATGATCAATATTAATCAGTGTAGTTACTGTAACCAGAAGTTACAAGTCTCTAATTTTAATCATAAACACAATAAAACCACATAAATTAATGTGGAGTGTAATTATTTTTGGTCTCAATGCGATGTCGTCTTTGTCCTCGAGGACAAGGACAAAACAGTTTTTCTTGTATTTTTTTATTTCCCTGTTTAGTTATAGCTCTCACTTCCTGTTTTTTTAATGTTTTTTTAATGGCATCCACAGTTGTTTATCCTTCCTAACTGGATAGACTGATATCTGTGAAGTTCTGCTGACTTTGTGTGGTATCGTGATGACAGATGACTGATTCACTGTTTTGTGAACAGTGACTAATCATACTGAGCAAACCAGATAGGGGAAGAACTAAAAATTAGAAGAGAAATAGTGAGAACATGAATAAAACTTACAGAAATGTATTGTTTCACATTGTTCACATATTCTGGCCCCCCTGCCTTCCTCCGGTTTATCAACTCTGACAGCTTCTGATAGGCCACAAACTCATTAAGGAATGTCTTAATGCCCATCAGTTCAGCAACAATGAAACTGTCCTCAAAGGAAACACCCATCATGAAGGAGAGAGGCATGAACACGTAGGAGCAGATGAGCTAAACAAGGGACACAAAGAAGCAGAAACAATAGAATAATAGTCACATCAAGCTGTGTTTTATTATATTTATGTAAAGTTTATTTTGGAGGGTTGGTGTGTGTGTTTGTGTATATTCACTGAGAAGCTGAGCTGTGGATAGTCGAACATCCCTCCCAGCCAGGAGAGGACAGCATCAAAAAAGGCCAGCAGGGCCATGAAGGCAATGATGTTGGCTAAAACGCTGGCCACTAGTGCGATTGCACGAGATGCACCAAGGGATGCCGCCTCCAACAAATTCTTGCTTTCACTGACGAAGAAGTCAGAAAGTCAGAAAGAAGTGACAGGATGAAGCAACAGCGAAATTATGTAAACAGAGTGAATTTAAAGATTAAACTGTAGAAAACCATTGTAACCATTTGAATCAAGTAGACAATAGATGTTGTATGGTGTAGTTATCTGTGTGTTTACTGTGATCACTCTTACCCACCCCTTGTCCATTTTGACTGGTCGATTGGACCTTGAAACTGTAGTTTCAGGCCAGAACATCTTGGCAATGGCCAGAGAAGCTGGAGCAGACATTACTGTTGCTGTCAACAAGTGCGTTGCATCAACCTCAAAAGAAAGGCAACAAATGGCACAGATTCATTTTTCTTTTTTTTTTTATCAAATTGTCAAATTCAGTCACAAGCCTTAAATGAAATTAGAAATGACTCCTATACATGCTATTTTTTGCATCCTGCTCTTTGAAATTGAGCATTAATAATTACAATAAATGTGACCTTTATTCAGCCATGAAGAAGAATCTCTTTTGAGAGAGAGACGTGGTCAAGATAGAGAGCATAACTTTGGATGTTTTTTTGATGTTGGGGTAAACTCTGCCCACTGTGTTGCAAAATTTAAGCTGCCCAGGTCAATAGAAAAGGATGAGAAGATAGAAATTGTGTCTTGATTTGAGTTTTCTGTTTTATTTCTGAAAATACTCACGTATTACTTTCCAGTTCATTAAACTTCTTGTTAAACTGCTGTCCAGTTATCACATGTGAGGTTGTCTTTGAACTTCTTATAGCCAATCTTTTTTTTTTTTTTAAATCTTGTCAATCACTCTTGTATTTTCCCTCTGCGTTCCCTGTGTATACTTTTCATTGCTTTTAGTTTAGCACTTTCCCAATTCCCATTTAATTATTCAGACTTGACATGACTTTGCCTTGCGTCTGCCCTTATTCCCTTTATTTGTATTTTTATTTGTTTTTGTTTGTTTATTCACGAGAATAAAATTTTAATCAAGCGCACACAGGACAAGTTTGGGTGCCTAAACACTTTCCAAATACGCCTAACTCTGACAACCTCAACACTTCTTCAAATCTGCACCCCATCCTTTCAGCACATCCTCTTCCTCACCCCAAAGGAGATGAAGGCTCCCAAAATGGTACCAGAGATGCTGGCAAAACCCCCTGTCATCACAGCATGGATCTCTGAGAGAGTTAGCTCACTGATATATGGACGAATCAGGAGAGGTGAGTCGGTCTGATGAGAGAGATGATGATGAGGACAGACAATGGAGTCGACTGAGATTAGTTGATCAATGCAGTTGACATTAGTGTACTATTGTAAATGGTTACAGTTGCTTACGTGTCCAAGGAATATATTTCCAGCTGCAGCCATTGATTCTGCTGGAGATGTTCCCATGGTAACCTGCATTATGAATCCAATCTGGGGAAAAATCAGTGACGGAATGTAAAACAGGGGAAAACTGTAATAATAATAATAATAATAATAATAATAATAATAATAATAATAATCATAATAATATGATAAATATAACACTATTATTATTATTAATAATAATAATATAAATTCTCATTCTGTGCTGTCTGTTACTATAACAGTCAACAGTCTTTCATTTCCTATTTTTTTATGTCTTATTTCTAAAATAATGCTTTGAAACAATTCATCTGACTCCTTATACAGCATGTCTTTTTGTGTCTGTGCTCTCCTCCATTCTCACCTTACAAATGAGCCAGGCCATGAAGCCAATGTAGTAGAGCATGGAGATGACAGAGCTTAAAAATACAAGTATTGGCATCACCTGCAGAGAGTCCACAATCAGCAAAATATTTGTAATGCTTCTAGTTATGTTTATACCTTGATATTAAAAACTAGATTGTCCTTTAAACACATTTAGTCACATGTGCGCTTTCACTGGATCGTCATACCCTAAAGGCAAAGAAGTGGTCCGTGTAACTTTCACCAAACACAAACTTTGATCCGGTATCTGCGAAGGACATAAACTCCTGCATAGAGATTTTCAGTTTTCAGCAACAGAAAAAAAAAATTGTAACAGATGATTTTTTTTTTTACATTTTAAATGTAGCGTTTCCATCATCTTAACATTAAATGTCAAATATATGCAGGAGGAACATTTGTTTTAGAAAAGCAGTGATTGCTACATCTGCAAATTTATCAAAAGCAACCATACAAACCACTAAAAAAAAGGATGTCTGTGTGTTTAAATATATTTGTGTGTACACCTCTGCTTTGTTTCCAAGCCACCGCAGTGCACCTAAACCAAAAGTGGTCCTGAGAATGAGAAGACCAAAGATAAACTGCAGCCCAGTCCCAAAAAACAGCGTTTGCCAAGACCACTGCAACACACATGAAAAATACATTTGTCTATGTGCAAAAATGTGTGTGTGAATTTGTGCATTTATGCAATTGTAAGCATGTATGTCCATCTTTTACCCTGAAGGGGTGTTTGGAGAACAGGAGTGTTAAGAAGACGAACAGCAGCAAGCCGAAGAAAGATACCAGCTGTCTAGTCCCCCGCTGGGCCGTGTCCAGAGCAAGCCAGCACACCACGGCTACGAGCACTGACATATATATTATCCTGAAAGAGAAAGAAAGAGGGGAAGTGGAGGAATTCAGAGAGAAGAACACAGAAACTCTGTACAAACACTATAGTATGCAGTGTGTATTCCACGTTATGTGTATAATACTGTTATATACCTAAATTTGTGTCAGCTTAGAAACAGAACAAATACATTATTGTGCAAAATCTTGAACCAACTCTCATTTCTTTACGTTTCACTAGGATATCTGGAAATGGGTGCAGTGATTTACTAGAATGTGCAAACATAAATAAAAATACCGTACATAAGGCAAAACCAGAGTTAACGGTCAATATCTGGTCTGACCACCTGTATTCTTCAACCTGAACTCTTTGGCAGGCTTTCTTGTCATTTCTTTTAAGTACTCTTAAGGAATAGTTCTCCAGGCTTCCCGAAGGACGTTCAAAGCTAATCTTTGGATGTTGGCTGCCTTTTGTTCTGTTCTCTGTCAAGATGATCCCACAGTGCTTCTATAATGTTAATGTCCAGGCTCTGGGGATGCTAATCCTTAGCTGATTATGTTCCACTGTGTGTTTTTCTATCCAGGTATGCTTTTACTGCATCAGCAGTGTGTTTGTGATCATTATCATGCTGAAAAATGAAGCTGTTGCCAATCAGATACTTTCCAGATGGTGTTGATTGGTTGATCAGAATCTGATCATACTTTTCTGACTTCATAATGTTATTTTGACAGGATCCCCAACACCACCAGCTGAAATGTGGCCCAAACCCATATTTTACAGATGGCTGTAGACACTCACAGTTGTATCTCTCTTCTAAACTCTTCCGCACATATTTACATTGAGACCAAATGATGTGTTCTTGTGACAAGCTGCTAGTAAAAAAGCATACAGTTTAGATGCAACTTACAATCTACGTTGAAGTTAAGTGGGGTTTTTTTTTAGGTGCTTGAAAGATTCATAGGTCAGTTCAAGTTCAAGTTTTATTTGTCATATGCAAGTTAGCACAGGGTCAACATTGCAATGAAATGTGTTTGACGAGCAGCAGTCACTCAGCAGCATGATACAGTACAGAAAATATAATAAAATATAATAAAATAAAATATAAAAATATAAAAATAGTAAGGAGCTAAATATTAGAAAGACATGGTAAAAGAGAAAAGATGACTAATATATATGTATCTATAAATATAAATATATGTACACTGGTGATTAAATAAGAAAATCTTGAAAAGAAATATGACGGGAGGGCAGATGGGATATTGCACAGGAATGAGCAGCAGAAAATTACAGTATTGCACTTTAAATATAAATATCAATGACAATAAAGTGAAGTGACCAGGTCAGTGCTACATGGTTTAATAAAGAAAAGCGGGGGTGGGTTGGTGGGTGGTGGTGGGGGTACCCTGATCTTGACTTGCACCGGGTTGGCCGGCCTCTAGCGGCATTGGCTACCCATCACCCCTGGGACTCCCAGCCATTGGCTGTTGGTGCACCATCTAGGGTCTCCCTCCTACTCTTGCTGAGATGGGTGCTCAGATATAGCTGACAAGTTTGGCCCCAGGCCTTCAGCGTTCTTGGGGCTGCAGATGGTCCTGGATCCATCTCTGTCTGCCTCTGGCTCCTGGGGGGCATTATTGCAGGTTCTCACCCTCATTAACGAGTACATTTTGTGACAAAAACACACTCTCTTTCTCTCCCTCACACTCACACACCTGGTGTTGTATGTTTGTTTTTCTTACAGGAGTGGCAGTTGGCAATACGTTGTATATTTCTTTATTTCGCCCGCCCCCCTTTTTTCTGCTTGTCCTGCCTTAGACATTGTCATACAGTATATCACATATAATGTAATATCTGAAATGACACAAATAGAAATGAAGACATAAAGAGATAAACCCTGAACTAGAGGAGCGTGCAGAGAATTTATGTTTTTAACATGACAGTGCATTCAGACCATAATTCTGATCGCAAAAGCTGCTAGACAGAACAGGATTTTAAAAGAATGTAATATGGTTTGTAGACATTAGCCAAAGGCTGTACTGTAGGTCAAGCATTGATGTTATGAATAATAAAGCAGTATATATATTTAAATCATCGCTTACCATCTACAAGATAAAGAAAATTAAAATTATCCGGGTGGGGTGCATTTCAGCAAATCATTTTATTGTGTTTAATGCAATACTCATGTCAGTCTCACTAATCAGAAATTTTATCAGTCTGAGGATGCTGTTTTAGAAAACTAAGAAACCTTCCACATGCTGAACTGTCTCGCACATCATTCACATCAACGAGGGATTTTTGATATGCTATCTTTACAGTCCCTCACATTTTTTGTTCCTGTGTCATTATGGTGAAAAGATCAGTTCTCTCAGCCCACCTGGCCAACCCCTAGGTGCCCAGTTCCTTTGCCGTAGAAGGTGCACATGGGAGCAGAAAGGCTGAAATATGATTTGCCTCATTTCTCACCATCTGATCCCACACCAGTTCCTGCTGAGAAGGTCTCTGATAGGAGCAAGAGCCTCCCACACTTGCTCACCATATCGTTCCATCATCCAATCCCAGACCAGGAAAAAAATGGTTACCAAGGAGATGACCAGCAGCCCAACAGCCCGATGGAAGTTCACAACACATGCCGCTATCACCATGGCAACAAAGCCTGAAACAAATATAGAATCAATGTGAGTTACATCCTCGCATGACCCTCAGACTACTGACATGTTAATGAAATGTTTTTATTTAGACTACTGCATTATCTGTTTTGTATCTACCAGCGAGACATGAGGGGGTGTAGTTGATGTGAAAATGGAGTGCACAGATGACACATCTTCCAGCAGGCAAACGCTACTTAAAGGTTCATATGTATGATTCAGGACTCCAATTCTTACTTGATTCCTCGACTGAACAGGTCTGAGCTGAGAGGTTAACTAAAAGTAGTCTAGTTGCAGTAGAAAATCTAGCACACAAAAGCAATATATAGAGAATTAGTGGTGGCAAAAAAAAACAAAAACAGAAGAAACAGCTGAAATAGCTAGCTCACTGTTAGCTAGCTTTGCTAATTAGCTTAGCTAGTAACATGAATAAACAAATTCAATTCTTACCTGAACATTAAAATGCAAACTATACTATAAATAGCTAAAATGTATAGGTAAAGAAGAATGAATTAATGTATTTTATCAAAGGTGGTGTAAGATTTTTTTTTTCACTCAGAGTATGATAACTGTTTACAAATGGAATTCATGATTAAACTTTTTTTTACTCAAATAAAAGTAAAAAAGTACATGTTCTGAAATGTATTCAGCATTTAAATGTAATCCTTTTGTAACAGTCACAATGGTGTGGTGTCTCTTTAAGACAACCCGTCAAGGGTTAATGTTGTCATCAGTATGCGCCACTGACTCTCTCTGTGATTGTGTGGTGTGGACATGTGCTTGTGTAGCAACAGAGTTAGAAAATAGCTTAATGAATTTCCTCAAAATTGATGTGCTTTGTGAATAGTTGGAGCCACCTGGTGGCTCCAACTATTCACCGCATACCGCAACTGCAACTGTTAAAGTTCCAAATTGCTGCACAACGCATGCCTCAGCAAAGGAAAAAAACTCCCAAGCTGGTGGTAGGTACTTGTGAGTGATACTGTTGTCAATTGTGTATGTGTATTATTGAAAACATTCTTATAGTGGTAATTGTCAACATGTATTTCGATTGTAAGCAGTACTAGCATGTATCCTGAAAGTTACAGCCATTTTGATGCATGGGTAGTAACTTTATTCACGAGTAGCATTTTTAGTTAGCATGCTAAGCTAATACTCGTTAGCTAGTCGGGTGCTTTTTGACTTGCACTCAGCTCTAATGTTTCTCTATGAGATTGTGAGATTGTTCTAATTCTTTTTAACAGAACTGAAGGTTGCAGTTGCTTTACACACCTTTAATGAAGACTGTGTGCTGTTTTCTTTGTACCAGGTAGGTGCTGTTAAGTATAAGTTTTAATTGATGCTGTTGTATAGGGAAAAAAAGATGAACAATGATGATTGTTTTATAATAGAAAAGCTGTTTTCTATATGTTATTGTTGTTGTTGGTTAGGAAAAAGAAGAAAAATAAATAATACTGCTACTATACGATCACAGGTTTGGTTTCAGCTAGAACTTTTAAAAGAAAGACTTTGTTGATGTTGTGTTGTATAAATATATCTTATTCATTTGTTAAGTGTTATGTTTGGAAAGAAAAAGGAAAAAAACTCCCAAGTTGGTGAACTGAAGGTTGCAGCTGTTTTACACACTGTTAATGAAGACTGTGCTGTTTTCTTTGTACCAGTTGCCAGAATAAAGAGGGAGCCCAGAGTAAGGGCAAGTCCAGCGTTGCAGTGCCGTCCTTTCTACATGGGCATATCACACCACTTGCACAATAGACTCACAGAACAGCAACAGCTACACTTGCACGCTAGTGCATGAGGAGGGACGGGTTTTATGTTTTACCTCTCCACACACCTTTTTTTTTTGCAACGTATGGGTTGTACGAACACTGTGCTGTTTGCTAAGCTGCAGCCGTTCAACCGGGCTTATATGGTTGACAAAGAGAACGTGTATTAAAGAATACACTGTGGAATTCCCAAAGCCAGCGTGAGTGTGTATTCTTTCGACTATCCTGCTCATTGTTTTGCCGCCTGCTCTCAACCACTAAACACAACCCGACGTTACAAAATGGCGCCCGAACATATTCTCTTGGACCTCAGTGTGCAGTATCTTCGAGCAGCTGATGATTGATACATGAAAAGGTACATCGCGGCAAAGTAGATGTCTGAATATGAATTGAGTCTATCAGCGGTTTGTGATAGTGCAGGACCTGTCATCCCCCTTTGTTCTTGGGATGGACTATGATTATGGATTATGGATTATGACTCGCACTTCACTAACAATACATGTCCCAACAAGAACTGTAATTATGGATGATAACCCCCCATGTCTTGATGAACTCTGTGAAAATGGCTTTGTGGAAGCTGATCTTGAGTGTGGAACTATGACCCTGCAGAACACCCCGCAGCTCTCCCTCCATGAAAAGGCTGAAGAAGCTAACTTGGATTCTGAGGAGAGGGAAGAACTGTTGGAGTTGTTAAATAGTTTTGGTGACCTGTTTGATGGCCACCTTGGTCGCACTTCTCTGGCAGAACATGTCATTGTAACTGGGGATGCAAAGCCTGTTAACTTGCCACCATACTGCACCTCACCAGCTAAAAAGCAAATCATAGAAGAGCAAGTGGAAAAAATGCTACAGGATAACATCATCGAACCTGCATCAGGACCATAGGCAGCCCCCGTGGTCATTGTGAACAAACCCCCCCGTGAACCACGGTTCTGTGTTGACTTCCGTGGTCTAAATCAGCTGACCGTGAAGGATTCTTACCCACTCCCGCGGTGGATGAATCACTGGACTTTCTGTCGAGAGGGAAGTTTCTCACAACACTAGACCTCGCTCGAGGTTACTGGCAGGTCCCCATTGCTGAGGAAGCTAAACCAAAGACTGCTTTTATCACGCACTGTGGCCTGTTTCAGTTCAGAGTCCTTCCTTTCGGCCTGTGTAACGCCCCTGCGACTTTTCAGCGGCTTATGAACAATGTTCTAGCTGGCCTGATTTATAAGTCCTGCGCGGTGTATCTAGATGACATTGTTGTCGCATCACCGACCTTTGAGCAACACCTGCTTGACCTAAAAGAGGTCCTTGGTAGGCTTCAGTCCGCTGGCCTCTCTTTAATGCTGAGCAAATGCCAATTCTGCCTTTCAGAACTCACCTTCCTTGGTTATCGGGTTACGCCGGCTGGCATTCATCCTGACCCTGACAAGGTGATAGCCGTGACTGAGTTCAAAGTGCCGACCACAACAAAGCAGGTGCAACAGTTCCTTGGCCTAACTGGCTACTATTGCCGCTTTGTACAGGACTACGCCACTCTTCGCCCTCACTAAAAAGGACGTGCAGTTTCACTGGGATGACAAGTGCCAGGCAGCTGTGGGCTTTCTGAAACATTCTATAACCTCAGCACCAGTCCTCAGGTTCCCAGATTTTTCGCGTCCATTCTTCATTCACACTGATGCATGCGATGCTGGTCTTGGAGCAGCATTAATGCAGAAAGATGAGGATGGCAAAGACGTTGCTGTGGCATTTGCTAGCCGTGCTATGCACAAATCGGAAAAGCCCTACTCAACTCCAGAGAAGGAGTGTCTGGCCGTGATCTGGGCCTTGGAACATTTCCGACCTTATGTCGAAGGCTTGCACGTAACCATTTACACTGACCACAGCAGCCTCAAGTGGTTGATGTCTCGACCAAATCCCTCTGGCAGGCTTGCTTGGTGGTCTCTTCGCCTTCAAGACTTTGACTTCAGCATTATCCACAAACCTGGAGAATGTAATAAGGTGCCAGATGCACTTTCACGTAATCCTCTACCAGATGTGGATGCCCCCATTGATCTTCTCCCTCCCTATGCCGTGATTAGGAGCATGGACCTTCGTGCTCTGCCTTCTGTAATTGTTTCAGACTGCCTGCATGTTCGTCAACTGCAGCTTGAGGACCCAGTCACAGGCTCATTGCTCAATCAGCTGGAAAGTGACCAACAAACTGGGGAGGATACTCAAGATCTGGAAAAGTGCGTTGTCCATGATGGTCTCCTCTATTTCCTCAACCCAAAAACTAAATGTGGTCTTCACCCACTTAAGCAGCTTAAACTGTTTGCTCCTACTACACTCCGTGGTTATCTGCTCAAGTATTACCACGATCATCCTACAGCCGGACATCTGGGCATTGCAAAAACGCTGGCACGCTTGCGTCTCAGATTCTTCTGGCCACACATGAACTCTGACGTGAAAAAGTATGTGGTCTCATGTTGTTCATGTCAAGCCACTAAGCCAAGTCAAAGAAAAACAGCTGGTAGGCCTGCACAATAAATCGAAAATTTATTGTCATCGTGATATCAGGCCCATCGCAAAAGACGGCGTAAACTGTGATAATTGGGTACCTTAAAATGTTTACACACGTGCTTTAAAGAATTTACCAATCAAAGAAACCCATTTACACATTTGACCAGTCGAATAATGCCTTCACGGCATTAACCAATCAAATGGATTAGAGGCCCGCTTCCTACGTAGGTGGGGCGCGAATAACGCTGCAATGAGTCAGAGTTGTAATGGCTGTGAGCAAGACGCGTGACAAGAATGCTACTGAACTCGTGGCTAAAAAAAAAAAAATAGTACCTCACTTATTTGGAGGTACTTTGGATTTGATAAAGACGACGTTCTCCAAACACAGGTACTCTGCAAAACTTGCCGAACACTCGTGTCAACCACCAGAGGAAACACGACTAATCTCCACCATCATCTTCAACCACAGAGAACTGTTTGAAGAGTTCCAGAAAGACAGGGCTAGCCAAACAAAGGTTGCTAATGTTAAGACAAAGAACGCAGCAGTCCAACAGCCGTCTCTGTATCAGAGTTTTTCAAGTGGAACAACTTATGAGAGAACGTCGAAGCGCTACAAAGAAATAACAGAGGCCATTACACATTTTTGGCTAAAGACATGATGCCTATAAATACAGTTAGCAGAGAGGGCTTCACCAGTCTGATACATAAAGTGGACCGGAGATACCGCATCCCCTCACGAAACTACTTTTCCCATGTCACCATTCCACAAATGTACGAAACATGCCGGAAGACCGTCATGTTTGAACTGAGCCAAGCTGAAAACTACGCAAGCACTACAGACCTATGGTCAAGTCGTACAACGGAACCACATATGAGCTTCACAGTGCACTTCCTCACCGAAGACTTTGAACTGAAAACACGGTGTCTAGAGACTGTGTATTTTCCAGACTCTCGCCCTAGTGAAAATATAGCCCATGTATCACGTGAGGTGTTAGCCAGCTGGGATCTTAAAGAAGACCGACAAGTGTGCATCACCACAGACAACGGTGCCAATGTTGTGAGAGCCACGGAGCTAAACAACTGGGTCAGACTTCAGTGTTTTGGACACAGGCTACACCTTGCAATCGGTACGTTTTATTCAAGGCAGATCTTTTTAGCAATGAAAATGTGCTATACATTATTATCAAATTGATATTGATAAGGATAATGTTACCTTTTTTAGACAACTTTAGTTATAAATTTCGATTAGTTTAAAAAAAAAAAGGTTTTAAACATGACAGTTTTTTTGTTTCCTCTTCTTTCTCCAGAAAATTCTATCAAAGATGATTCCCGCATTGCCCGAGCCATTGGACTTTGCAAAAAGTTAGTTGGACATTTTTGCCACAGCTGGAAAGCAAAGATGGCTCTGAAAAAAGCACAGCAGAAGTTCAACCTCCCAGAGCACACACTCATCACAGAATGCCCAACCAGGTGGGGTTCCAGGCAGAAGATGATTGAGAGAGTCCTGGAGCAGCAGCGGGCCATTTCTGATGTCATCTCAGCAGACAAGAAATCAAGACACTTGATTCCTACTTGGCAGGATCTTGAGGTACTGGAGTCTGTCAACCAGGCATTACACCCCCTGCAAGACTTTACAGATGCCCTGTCTGGTGAGAGTTACGTTAGTGTTTCATATGTAAAACCAGTCCTTCATCTGATGAAGACGTCGGTGCTTGCAGAGAAGGAAGAAGAAAATCCTTGAGTACCTGATTACTAAATATGAAAATCCAGCTACCCAGGAACTTCTTGACATGGCGTGCTTCATGGATCCCAGATTTAAAGTCAGCTACATCAGCACTGATCGAGTCTCAGACATCAAGACCTGAGTGATGTCAGAAATGGAAGCAGTGGCACAGAAGGTATTCATGCATGCTTATATATAAAACCTTTCAATTCATATTTACTCCAAAATGTTTACTTTTCCTATAATGTGCTTTCTGTTCCAGGAGAGAAGCTCCGTTGAACCAGAGGCCCAGACAAATGATCCGCCCAATCGTCACCTGAAGAAGGCAAAAAAGTCACTGGGCAGTTTCTTCAAGGCAGCTCCAATCCCTACCTCCTCTTTTATGCATCTCTCACAAGCTGTTGAAGCTGAGCTTAACAGCTACTTGCTATCCACGGCCATAGACAGTGAGGAAGACCCCTTGGCATGGTGGAAACTCCACAAAATGACATTCCCACAGCTAAGCAAGCTTGCAAGGAAGTATCTCTGCATACCTGCAAGTAGCTCACCTTCAGAGAGACTTTTTAGTACATCAGGAAACATAGTAACATGTCAGCACACATGTTTAAAATCTTGGAGAGTAAACATGTTGGTTTTCCTTACCAAGAACTTGCCATGAAAAACATTCACTCAGGAAAGATGAATGCAAGATAGAGAAAGCTTCTTTTTTTTTTAAGTACAAACATACACTACCTACATTGTTCTTAATTGTTGATAATATTAGTCTTGGCCAGTACGACCACAAAGGTAGACAATTGTTCTTTGGTGTGTTCCCACAGCAAACAAGTTCTTACCTATAGTTTAATCTAGTAAAGTTTCCACTCCAGTTTTGACTTACATCATAACTACTTGGTGGGTGGTAAAATGATGAACAACTGCATAGAGATAATTTGCAGTATAATTTAAGTTATGTTTATTTAAAACTAATTATAGAGACCGGGAAGGATGTCTTTCAGAATTCAAGCCTCAGAAAATTTTTTATGGGGGCAATGTTTCAATGTTAAAGTGCACTTTGTTGTTACACTGCTAATACAGCAGCTTTCTTTAAATAAAACTGTTGCAGTAAAACGGAAATTATGTATTCATTTTTTGTTTGTTTGTTTTGCTATTTATTTTATCGCAAGTCATATCGTTATCGCAATATTGATCACAGTTATCGCACATCGCAGGTTTTCCTAATATCGTGCAGCCCTAACAGCAGGCCTTATGGTCCCTATCCAGCCACAAAGACCATGGGAGTACGCTGGGGTGGACTATGTTGGCCCACTGCCCCACACACAAAGAGGGAATGCTTATATCCTTGTTTTTGTGGACTATTTCTCAAAATGGATCGAGGTGAGTGCTGTGAGAGAAGCCACTGCTCAAGTTGCTGCGAACAAGTTCATTACTGACATTTATGCTCGACATGGTTCTCCCTCCTACCTTATTTCTGATAGGGGAACGCCTTTCGTCAGTGAACTCTCGCATGTTTGTTGACTCTTGGGACTGAACACAGACTAACGACTGCATACCATCCTCAAACTAATGCGATTGAGCGTGTGAACCGCACTTTGAAAACGGCCATTCAAGCATATGTTGGAAATGAGCACACTTCCTGGGACAAATATCTTCCCCAGATCTGTTTTGCACTGCACACTGCGCCTCATGAGAGCACAAGCCTGAGCCCGTCCATGATGCTGTATGGGCAAGAGTTGGACACGCCCGTGGACCTTGTCACTCAACCCTCCTGGGACGGACTGAGTGACCCTGAAACGCCTTACTCAGATAACCTGAGAGCTTCACTTCGGGATGCTCATGAACATGCTCGCTTGGTGCTCGAAGAGAGTCATAAAAGGCAAAAGCACTACTATGATCTGAGACGTCGCACAGTCTCTTATGAAGTTGGAGACCTCGTCAGAGTAAAGTCGCACCCAAAATCAGATGCATTGTCCAACTTTTCTGCAAAGTTGGCCCCCCTTTACACTGGTCCCTGCCGCATCTCCAAGAGGATGTCTGATGTGAATTACTGTCTCACCACAGTGGACACTGGGGAGAAAGTTGGAGTTTTTCATGTTGCAAACCTGCAACCATTCTACACCTGGGCCACAGCTTTATCTGGCAAGCATGCAAAGCTAAAGGCTGCAGCAGCTTTGGATCTCGGTCCCCCGGACAGCAGCTTGCCTCCTGCTCTTTCAGTCCCAGGCCGCAATGACTGTGACGCTGTTGACACAACCCCCATTGTCTCTAGCGACACCCCTGCTGAGACTGACTTTGACTGTACTGACACTGTCCCGCTTTTTGGGGACCAGAACTCTTTCCAAGAGACTGCTGACATTGCTCTGGAGACAGAGGTTAACAGTTCACCTCCTGCTGACAATGGGTGTGCTGTTAGAGGTTCTTATAACCTCAGACCAAGACGAGTTCCTAGAGTCACCACTGACTGGTCAGTCAATAGGTGGACCAACCCTTTTCATAGTGACATATTTGACCTAAAGTGACCTTATTTGCTTTTTGATGTGTTTCATGTGGTCTACCGTTGTAACAGGACCGTTGTTTGAGTTTTCTACAATTCATGTTGGCAATGTTTTCATGTTTTGGTACTGTGTTCCTACTGACTGTTGCAGTTTTTGAAAAAGAGAAACGCAATGTAAGAAAAAAAGGGAATTTCATTCTGTAATTGTCCTGGCTGTGTTTATTTTATTTCTATAACATTTATTTAAATGGACATTCACCATGTGGGACACTGTCATGTATGCCAGTTTGTCATTATTGCACTGCACATTTCCCTGTTTTGGTTTCAACATCTTATCCTGCTGACCATGTATGGAGGCTGGTTAAGTCTGGCCTGTACCTTTGCTGTGTTCGGCTGGGGACAGCCTTTGTTTAACCCGGGGGGAATATGTAACAGTCACAATAGTGTGGTGTCTCTTTAAGACAACCCGTCAAGGGTTAATGTTGTCATCAGTATGCGCCACTGACTCTCTCTGTGATTGTGTGGACATGTGCTTGCACGCTAGTGCATGAGGAGGGATGGGTTTTATGTTTTACCTCTCCACACACCTTTTTTTTGCAACGTATGGGTTGTACGAACACTGTGCGCTGTTTGTTAAGCTGCAGCTATTCAACCGGGCTTATATGGTTGACGAAGAGAACGTGTATTAAAGAATACGCTGTGGAATTCCCAAAGCCAGCGTGAGTGTGTATTCTTTCGACTATCCTGCTAAGTGTTTTGCCGCCTCCTCTCAACCACTAAACACAACCTGACGTTACACTTTGAAGGACTTTTAAGGCAGCTATTTATGTGTTAAGCTAACAGACAAACGTTTTCATTTCCTGTTATGACACTGCTAAAAGTACTTACAGCTATTTATTTATGCACAGCTTTTTAAAGGTCCAGCCATAGGTCTGGCCACTGCCACCAACATATTAATTCTTTTCTTTTTCAGCCAGACTTTTGTATATTTGCTGTTTGATACAATTTGGGCCAAGCTTTAAGTGTTGGATAGATGACCTCACATTTGGTTTCATAATACTTGGTATACAGAGGAGTTTATGTTCAGCTGCAAGGTATGGGGCACCTTTTGTAAACTGAAACATGCTGCAATTAACAGCAGCATTTTTTCACGTTTATCTCAAAAGCTTACAAAAACATGTTTTTTCGAGTCATTTTTTACAACATTTACTAAAATATTTGTAACTTTTTATATCTAAAATACAATTTTAAATGTTAAATCTAAATATTATGTTTAAAATTAAATGTTAAAAGTTAAATCTTAGTATTATATTTAAATCTAAATGTTAAATCTAAATGTTACGAGAAACTAAATATTTAGCTAACATGCAAATTTATTGTATGGGTCAACGCAAATACCAAAATAAAAGCTTTGCTAAAAACTCCAGCGCTAAGGTGTGCCGATAGTGATCAGGTTGTGTGTCTGCTCTCCCCTGACAGTACGTCAGTGATGTCCAGCGATTTAGCTGCTGAGGGTGCACTACTGCTGAACCTTTGCATGGCCGGCAAAATGGCTCATGGCAGTGAGATGTGACCATCAGGGGAGAGCAGACACACAACCTGCACACTTTAGCACTGGAGTTTTTCGCAAAGCTTTTATTTTGGTATTTCCGTTGACCCATACAATAAATTTGCAAGTTAGCTAAATATTTAGTTTCCCTATACATTTAGAGTTCACATTTAGATTGAAATATAATATTTAGATTTAATATTTAAAATTATTATTATATATATATATATTTTAGTATTTTAAATATATATATTCAGTTTACAAACAGTGCCTCTTAGCAAGGTGCACCGGTTCTGTGGTGTCAGAACAAGCCCATATCATGACTCCACCACCATGCTTGAAAGCTGGTGTGAGGTGTTTGCAGTGTTGCCAACTTAGCGACTTTGTCACTATATTTAGCGAGTTTTCAGACCCCCTAGCGACTTTTTTTCTAAAAAAAA